AATAGAACGCCTCTCTTTATATATATATCCTGAAGCTCCTAAATACTATTATTAGTATTAATGCTAAATAAAGCTATTTTGAGCCTTATCTAGCTATAGTAGGCGTTATAATTATTTATAATTAATATTAAATATAACTCCTAGAATACAGATTTATTTTCAGTAGTAATCTTCGAATAAAGTTGTTGAATCTCTTAGTATTAAAGCTACTATAATATATCTTATAATTAAGATAACTATTAATATCTATCACAGGGCAAATACTCTATTTCCTTAAATGCTTATATAGTACAGTAACTCTATATAATATGCCGCGTTTTAACTAGCCTCTTTAATAGTCTTTTGTACACTTATTTATAGCTGTTTTATTAATAAAAATAGCCTGTTCAGCACGTATTTCAGCTATTTAAGCTTAATAAAAGGCTTATAAATCTTCGTCTTATTTAGCAACACGTTTTTTAATCTACAAAGTAAGTTCTAAATCATCTCAAAATGGCTGCATACTAACTGCTTTTCTCATTATATCATTAGCAGCAAGAGCTCAAGAAACCGTCTGCTTTAATACGTCGATATTATACTCCTCATCAAGAAAATAACACATCTCATCAAGATACGCGGTCTTGTGCTCCTCTCCGTTATCAAGTACCCAGTCAAGGAGGCCTTCTAACGCTTCTGCCGTGATTTTTCGAGGCCTACCCTGAACCGATACAGGCGCAGGCCGTGGATCTCCGAATACAGCGATATTCTGCTTAATTCTGCCTACCGTTGAAGCGTGGCAACGATAGATTTGAGCTATTTCTCGAGGTTCTACATCAGTAGCAAGCAACAGGGCCATATTCTCGACCGCAGCCCGCGAGAAACGTAGATTACTCATCGCCAAACGCAACACCAAGCTCAAAAAGCAATATAGGGCCAAATCGGGATAATAGCGAGCTTTATGAGCATTTACAAGCAAAATCTACGTCTATTTACCACGCAGTTGGCGATTCCGCCTTTTGACCGCTTTTTTGCCCCGCCAGCACAGCAATTTTTGGGTCGCGCCAAGGAATTGCAACACTTTTGGAACGGGCAATAACAGTCCGCCGTAGTCATGCGCCTCCCTTTACTTACGTAGCGGGAGGCGGGTAAAACCTGTTTCTGATTCGTAGATAATCCTACATGCTTCACTACCCACACTGAACGCACCCAATACTCTCTCCCAGGGTCTGTTGATGACTTTGATGCACGACTCCGTATTATATCCCCACTATACCGGCGCAGGGGTGTAGCCCGGAACCTGGGCCCGATGGCACGTGCCAAAAATAATGATAGTTCTCGCTCAACCACTATCTATTCTATCTATTCAATAGGGTATAGGCAACCCATTCCGCTCATTTAGGGCAGTTACTCTATCTGGCATTGTAGAAATTACCTTATTGATCTCATCCAGAGTAATTTTATCCCATTCCTCTTTAATAGCACGTCGTAATTCTGCAGGATCAAGAATAAGGCCTCGATTCTTAAGCCGCTGCTTTATTGTCCTCCAAATAGTCTTAATAGGGTTAAGATCAGGCGATTCTGGAGTATTAGCCTCCCATTTGATGCCCAATTGCTCCTTAGTCTGTTTGAGTCGATTGTGACGTTTGCCGCGGGTGCCGTGAGCATTATCGTTATCCTCTACAAGTATCTAATCCTCTTCCCAATTAGGAGCGATAAAATCGTTCAAAAACGTCGAATAATCCGCTTGAATTAGACGTCCTCCAACTCCTGAGCCTTGATAGAAGTGGAGCTGACTCTTGAAATTCCATCCAATATACACAAACACGTGCTAAATTTGATTTCTTCGTTTAAATCGAAATTGGATCTTTTCTGGCGCATTTCGAGCATTTTTGCCACGACGACGATGGATTCGAGTTTGTCGTTGAAGGGCATAAGCAAAGTGACATTCGTCACTATAGCGATAACGTTTAAAGTTATCTAAATGCCAATATCGACGTTCAAATCCCCATATTTTGCGCTTCTCAATTGACTCTTGGCGTATGAATTTTTTCTGTTGCGCCATAAATGTGCCCACTCCATGTTCAGCTATATTTCTTTGTATAGCACGTTCGGATCCATTAGCTAGGCCAAGTGAGCTTGCCACAGCTAAATGAGTAGAAGTTCCAAAGCGAAATGAAGCATTTTCGACTGTTTCGATAGCATCACGTTCGTGAGGAGCTAAAACAGCTTTTCGCCCTCGATTATGGATCTGTTCGCTTCGGCGCGCTATTTTTGATTTGAGGATTCGATAGCCTGTTGCTTCTGCTATATTATGCTTCTTAAATAACTCCTTCCGAGTTAATTTGCCTGCTGTAGAACGCGCGTCGCAAAGGAGGCGCATGCGCCGTGGAGTATCAACAATAGTATTTGCTTGTCGCTCAGCTATAGGACTCAACGAAATCGAGGGATGAGCCTGTCGGCAGGTTCTGCGGTCGGTTTTGTTTGATCTGGCCATTTTTGAGATAATTTGAAGCAGAATTGGTAGAGCTATAGAGGTTAGAAAAGAGTGGGTGGTTAATAGGGGATGCGAGAACTATCATTATTTTTGGCACGTGCCATCGGCCCTGCAAGGAGCTCAGGGTACAATTCAATTAATGCTCGGGGCTACTTAGGTTAGAACAGCCTTGCACAGCCACAGCTCAGGGCTGGGAAACAAAGTATATGCCTACATGAGTCAGCCTACAGGAGTCTGAGCGTATTTACTTATTCGAAATGATTCAGACCACCCCAAGCCGTGGCCTCAGGTTCAAGCGAGGTTACTTAACAGCCATCCAGATCGTGCCCGGCTCGGAAACTCCAGTCTTGCAGAATGATTCCGGCGTCCTGCTCCATGTGGGTGATCTTGCTCCCTGTCCGTAGAAAGGGTCTTTTCTGTATACCGACCTAGATTTCCTTCACAAAATAGCTATAGCCTGTCAAAAACATCTTGTATCTCATTGGTACTCACTTCGAATACTTATTCATTGTGCTCCGGTAGATAGGAGAGAGACCGGGTTACGCCTGCTATGATGGACACAACTGGGGAATTTCTTGCTTCGTCGCAAAACCGTTGAAACGAGTGTTTACCGTCTCCCCAATCTCTTTTATTAGCATCGCTTGCTACACTGAAACTTCATCAGTAAGTGTGCTAAAGATCTGAGTGAGGGAGATCTGGTTCCAACGTACGATGATTTCCGTTCCAGTTGTCCTCCACCATCACCATAAACACTGGTTCTCGGGTCCACACAAGGCAGTCCTCCTATGAAGTAGTCACATTCAGCACTACATTGGGAATAGGGTTTAACATACCTCCCATATCTTGGACTACCTCGGAGGTAATTTACGAAGCTCCAATAAGAGCGCCACAAGCTTTTCCTGATGGGAACTATTTTACGGAATGAGTATTACGAGAGTGAAGACAATTTCGTAGAAGCCGCTGAGGAAAGGCCCCATTCCTTGATCATCCTCAAACTTCATAAGTGGGTCCGAAAGGAGATGTTCCTGTTCGTAAAAGATGTGTACATGCCGCGCTGTATGCGCTGTGGTAGAATCACCGTCTGAGAGAAGATAACCTTAAGCATCACTGCCAGGGAATGATCAAACGTTCCCTTGCCCCTGTCACTAATCTCGTCGTTGAAAACAGTAATCCATGGCTCATTGTCGGTGCTGGCTGCTTCGCTTATGGTAAAGCTGTGGTTGGAATTTTGGTGTGATAACAGAGTATTTTGTGACCAAAGCTACGTTACAGGAAAACTCAGGGCTTACTTTGAACAGGGTGATGTAAGGGATGTTGATACAAAGTCTCAAGGGTATCCTTAGTGGCGGATATAGTAAGCTGCTCGCTTTGGACAGGAGACCAATAAAGAATTAGTGGCGTCCATATTCATTCGATCACACGTACACACCACCATTGAAGGATTCAGTCTCGGCTTCATAAACCCGATATGTTTTCAACACCAATTCTCACTCGTAGCTAGCACCGTCGATTTATTATATGAAACCTCGGATGGTCACATCGTTAGCATGTCTTGTTGATCCTAGATGGCCCCCCGGGTGTAACTTGGATTGTTTGAGCCTCATGTCACTACCAAGTACGCGCTAGCTACTACTTATCTTTTGACATGTACCACTACATTTACCCAAGGGTAATCCTAGAAACAGCATTCATTTGTTTGTCGCACGATTGCAAGAACATGTTCCAGCTCAAGGCTGTGCTACTCGAATCACAACCCATGCAGCCCAATCCTTGCTTGCCATGCTCCCACAGAGAGATTGGAATCCACAGTTCTAGTTGTGTCGGTCCGGTATGGTCGCTTGAATGCATATACTGCCAAAGCCAGGATTCGCTACGTGTTTCTTGATGCTTGATGAACTTTTGATATAATATGTGGGCAGACGACAAGGTCCTATCCTCCCCAACAACAACTTATGTGCCTTCGTCTTTGATTGAATCATATAAGGTCTGCACATAACGAAACCTTTTTGTGATCATGGCATCCTCGCCACCACCACCACCACCACCAGGACACGAGCTACCTTTTCGATCTGCCTCTGCTCTCAAGAAGCGTGTCCAACGATCAACGCGACAACGGACTGGTTTTTCTAAAGAGCCTGGGTCTCCTTCCAACTGCCCCTCTGCTACTCCTCACCCCTTCATCACCACTAATCGATCTCCCCACGGGAACACGGAAGGTGCCGGTGCCGGCCCCTCAAACGTATCCACAGTAGATCAGCCACTGCGAAAACGTGCTCCCAGAGATGTTTCCTCCACAATCCGGGACCAGACATTCACCTACCCTGCAATCCTGCACGCTATTGAGCAATCCGATAATCGAAGAGCGCTACTCGAACTCCTCCAGCAGGAACTCCAGGCTATACAAAGAGACCCCAATGATGATGACGGAAACCAGACGATGCCCGGACAGGGGATCAGGCAACTGACAGCCGCTATCCGCGAAACTGAGATCGACATCGCAGAGCAGGATAGGGAGGCGGTGCTGAAGGAGCGGAGCAAGAGAGCCAAATCCCTGAGAACCACGATTGGTCCTCTGTCAACAAAAAGCCATGGACAGACCATCACTTCGGGGCCTTCAGGATGGCCGAGTGTCACTGGGCAGCGTGAACGACAAGGAATTACTGCTAGGAGTAGGGACTCTGGCGGGGTGACTCCTTTAGAAGGCATTGTTACCACAGGTCGATTTGCGAGCAGTTCTGCTGGCCGTGGTACTCGTACTCCCAGCAAGCAATCTTCTCGTCAAAGCGCAACCCCTGCATGCAGGCGAAGCGAGCATGCTACCCGGAGTACTACTCGTACATCTACACCAGACAGGGAGAAGGAAACGTCCAAGCAAGCGGCTGCTGCAACAAGGAGTGATATTCCAAGTTATATTGATGCGCAAACTAGAGCTCATAGCCAATCGTCAAGCTTATCTGGTGACAAGAGATCCACGAAAGCCAATCCAGAAATTAATGACAAGGCCACTGGTCAGAGTGTCGGTACAAGAGGAGGTGCTGCTAGTCCGTCCAGTGGCAGGTCTCAGCCAGTTATGCCATGTTCAAGCAGTGCGGCAGCCGTAAGGACTGTTGCTCAAAAACAGGCTGCCGAGCTGGAAATTGCTGCACTGTGGAGGAGTGCTCGGAAGGAGACTACCAATCCATCTCGTAGCAGATCATCTTCACCCGCCAGCCCGCAGGTCAATGTGAGACTTGATAGTGCGAATAGAGGCGCAAGGGCCGACACTGCTGGTCCATCATACAACAGACCGCCGCCTGTCATGCCTAGGTCAAGTAGTCATTGGAGACCGGCAGATAGTGGTCCTGAGGTCAGTGATACACCAAGAGGCGTGGCTGGTCCATCTGGCGGCCAACCAACTCGTTTCCTGCCTGCGCCAAGTGGCCAAATGAGTGCAGCAGCGAGTGGTGCTACGAGTAGCGGTATCAGAGGAGATGCTGCTGCCTTGCCCGTTGGCATACCAAGTCACGTTCAACCTTCGTCAGCTGGCCCGTGCGCTGCCGCTGCAAGTGGCCCTGTAGGGAATCTTGCGGGAGGAAACGCCGCTGATCCACCTCCCAACGGACCTGGATTTTTCCCACCTTTGCCAGGTGCTGTGGGTAATGCTGTATGGACAAACGTTGCTGGTCAAGCCATTGGCATACCTGGTATAGTATGGGGTTTACCGATTGGTTCATCCGCCGGCATACCTGGATTTCCTATGCCTCCGCTAGGTGACTCGAGTACTACTGTACGTGGTACACCGGTTGGTATGGGTGGGTTTCCTATGCCTCTACTAGATGGCTCGAGTGCTGCAGTACGTGGTGCTACTGGTCCACTCATTGGCATACCTGGCTTTCCCATCCCTCCAGAAGGTAGTTCGGATGCTGTCGTGCGGCGTGCTTCTGATCCTCCCAGAAGCATACCTGGGCCCTCTTTGTCTCCGCTAGTTGGCAATTGGGTTGCTGCGGGTAGTGCAACAGTGACTGATACCGGCACGGGTCAACCCAGTCTACCTACTGCTTCACCCATACCTAATGTTGGTGGTGCACCTGTTTATGGGGCTCATGCTGGGAATACAGCTTTTTGGAACGCAGCTGGCGCCCAAGCGAGTGATCGACCCGGAGCTGCTATCATCAGCCAGGACAGATATTGGGGTGCTGCTGTTGAGCGGCAGACTGCTGGAACGGCTAGTGATAGAGCTGGACCCAGCACCGTTGAAAAGGGAAATAAGGAAGGGGTTGCTAGTAAAAGCAGTGGTAGCAAGAGGAGAGCTGCAGCTCCACCTGGTGATATAATTTCTAGTGGAGAGCAGAGAGATGCTGGAGCGGGTAGTGGTGCTAGAGGAGCAACCGGTTCGTTAAGTAGTAGGATGGGGCCTCCCGCCTCGAAGCAGGCTAGCAGACAAAGAGATTCTGCTTCGACCACTGGTACTGAGGGTGAGACCGGTAACACTCGAATCGAGCAAGAAGATGCGGAGGATGAACTACATTGGACTGATCTGATAGAATATCACCAGCCAACACCTGATGGGGATGATACCTGGCAGCAATGATATTGAGACAGGCCTCTTCAAGCATTAACCATCTCAACAACACCTACCCAGGGAGACCAATCGCTGTTTAATATGTGTGCAGCAGTACCAAAAATAGCCACAGCAGCAACAAAATGCATTAGTGGCCACTGCCAGCAATGCAGGCACCACCACAGGCACCATAGCAAGTACTTCGTACAAGAGTACCAATACTACGTACCACAACGGCCAGAGTAGCTGGCGTAGCAAAAACAGTGATCATCGAACAGACCGAGCAGAAGAAGCAAGATTGCACGAAATTCCAAAATACACCACCTGGTGGCCTGGGGACGATGTGCAGAAGCTACCAGTAACTACTGCGCTCCCATGGAACTCGGTGATAGCTGGAGGACCACAACGGTGGCCAAATTTATGTTCGGAATATATGACACCCGGAAATAAGCGTGTCATTTACCCGGAGAACTGAGCACTCGAAACCTTAGTTGAAAGGAACAATCGGGACGCAGCATTTCGAATCGAGAAAATCGACGAAGCGGCGACGGTGAGTTTCATTATTTTTGTAAGATTTTGTTGTGCGTGACTGCGATTCTGACGCAAACCCCCAACCAACTCAGAATAGCCCAGAGATCTTAGTCCATTCAGAATGAATGGTAATGGTTGGCGCCCTGAAGCTTGGAGCTATTGTGACTAGCACCCTTCAAATAAGATGTACGGAGGCGTGCACCAAAAGTCATTACCGAGCTAAATTTTAGCTGCGGGTGCTAGTTCCTAGTCCGCGCCACTCTCTTCCTAGTGTGTACTTGGCGCCCCATAGAAATTTGTATGAGGATAGACGTACCTGTCAGGAAAGCTCTGGGGGTGGCCAGGAATGCTCTGAATTTTGTGATTTTGAAAAGAATTGACGCAGTTTGACGGTAAATAGCTCTTATGAAGTGTTATTTGGCAGCTGTAGAAGCGTTTTACAAGCCAGATTTGCAAATAGGCCTGCGTACGCTCTATCTGCTTCTCTGCTCTGCCTGCGCCAGCGCCAGCGTACAGCCTGTGTTCTATTACTCCTCATCAAGCCATTCGTTGTCGCCCTGGGTATCCTGTGCATCCGTAGCCTGTTGAATATCTCTGTTAACAAACTGGTGGCTTGATTTAATGCCCTTAATTTGGCGGCCTGCCTAGCTTCTTTTGTAACCTTGTTCGCCCTCTTTGTACTTATTACCTTTATTAAGACAAATAATCTCTTGAATATAATTAGGAATTACCTATATCTATTACTATATCTGCTCTTATAATAAATCTTGCTAGCCTATATATTACTTCTTCTCTATTTCTATATAATAAGTTATAACGCCTTGCTTAGTAGTCTTCTTCTTTATTTAAAACTAAGCAGGCTCAGAGGCGTTAAGATTAGGTAAATTCCCTAATTATAAAAGCTTTTTGATGCTATAAAGCTTATAAATAAAGGCTTAATAAGGATGTGAATAGACAGGGGCATTATTATCTTGAATAATAGTATTAGGACGCTCTTGTATATATTCTTTGGCAAAGGGTATTAGCTTTTAGAGTAGAATAACCTTCTAATAGCGAAACTAGTTAATACCTCTTGCTTTATTATTATGTATAAGCTTGCTTGTCTTCTCTATAAATCTCTACTATAGAGCTCGACCTCTTGAATGTCGGTATATATTCATCCTTCTTATCTGCGTTTTAAGCTCCTAGCGCATTTTAACAGAGGGTTTAAGAAGCTTATTTAGCTCTTAAAGTTCCTTCTTTACTTTCTTCTTCTCTTTTGTTGTCTTTTTTATCCAAATATAATAAAGCCCTTTAGAGTCATAAGAAAAGCATCCTTAAAACATGAATTTAGAAAAGCCCTTCTACTAATATTAAATAATAGTCTTTTTATATATTTCTTTACTATTTCTTTAAAGCTGTATAGCTCCTTAATAATAATTAAGAATAACAGATGTCTTATTACTCTAAATAACGTTTTTCTAGTCTTCTAAAGTCTAATCTTAATGCTCTAAAGTAAATACTAATTAAGCAGCTTTTTAAGTAGAATTTAGGCTAGGTTTACATGTTAGTTTGACTAAATAAAGGCTATATTTATAGAGAATTTAAAGAGTATTATGTTAGGGCTTAACTAGTTAAGACAAGTAGCTATATCTTTAGCTATTAAAGATTCAAAGTATAGTATAAAGTAAGTATATTTCGTAAGTCTAAGAATGCTATTATATTTTACCTTTATAGTTTAGTCCTATAATAGTAATAGCTTTATAATAAAGTCTATTACTATTACTTCCTAAGCTCCCTTTAATACCTTTAGTGACTATATTTTACTATATAATTTGTGTCTTAAGTACTTTGTTTTCTAATATATATTATACTTGTTTATTTATTCTTAGACGGATTTGTTTATTTATAAAAAATAGTATAATCTTAAAATCTGTTTAAGTGTCTTGTTAATCCCTTAATATTTAGCTAGTATTTCTTTATAATACTAATAAAGTATTATATCTTTTGCAGAATTAGCCATATATACTAGTCCTTTATACAAAATTAGCCTGCTATCTTGTATTTTAAACACTAGGTAGTTTTCAGGTTTCTTCTTAATTTCTTTTGCTAATCTGTCCTTTTAATATACTCTAATTAGTTGTTTTTCCTAATCTTAATTAGAGATTATAAAAGTAGCTATAAGTGTTAAATTATTATATCTTATTAATTTGTCTAGATTTAATTATAGTATTAATTTAAGTAGTGCTTTAGTATTCTTAAAGTAATCTATATGTTTACTAAACATGTCTGCTTTTGTATTATTATTTCTTTTTCTATAAGAGATCTTAAAGTTATATCTTAATAATGTTTCTGATTATTTAATCTATCTCTTATTAAGTTCTTTAGTTATAATAAAATATAATAGATTCTTATAATCTATATATATCTTTACTAGATACTTAGATCCTTCTAAATATATATGTTATTTATCAAATACTGTTATAATAGCTAAGAGTTTCTTATTATAAATCTTGTAATTAAGTTCTGTTAGAATTATCTTTCTTAAGTAAAAGGCAACTAGCCTTAGTTGTCCTTTATTGTCTAGTTAACTTATATATATTCTTATAATATAGTCTAATATATCTGTTTCTAAGACTATTTGCCTCTCTAAGTCAAATATCATAAGTATAAAAGTAGACATAAATTATTTCTTTAACTCTTAGAATAAAGACTCTGCTTTTATTCCCTAATAAAAGAGTTAATCTTTCTTAATTATTAAAGTTAGTAGCACTATAATCTTTAAGTACTCTTTAATAAATCTCTTATAGAAGTTCACAAATCTAAGGAAAGATTATATTTCCTTAATATTCTTTAGTTAAGGCTAGTCTTATACTACCTTAACTTTGGATTTGTCTATTTAGATTCCACTTGTGATTAAGATATAACCTAAGAACTTTACTTTCTTTTTGTAAAATTTATACTTCTTTAGTTTAATTAAGAGATATGTCTTCTTTAAAATACGAAGCACCTGCTTTATATAGCTCTTGTATTCCTTTTCTATTTTTAAGTAGATAAGAATGTTATTAAGGTATATTATAATAAAGATGTCTATATTTCCTTAATATTCTTTAGTTAAGGCTAGTCTTATACTACCTTAACTTTGGATTTGTCTATTTAGATTCCACTTGTGATTAAGATATAACCTAAGAACTTTACTTTCTTTTTGTAAAATTTATACTTCTTTAGTTTAATTAAGAGATATGTCTTCTTTAAAATACGAAGCACCTGCTTTATATAGCTCTTGTATTCCTTTTCTATTTTTAAGTAGATAAGAATGTTATTAAGGTATATTATAATAAAGATGTCTAAGAATTCTTTTAGGATATTATTAATTAAGGCCTAAAACGTTATAGATATATTTGTTAACCTAAATAGTATAACAAAATATTTATAATAGCTATACTATATATAAAACGTAATCTTTTATTCCTCTTCTTCCTTTATTCTAACTAGATTATATACTCCTTATAAATCAAGTATTATAAATTATTCTGCTTTATAAATCCTGTTATAAAGTTCTGAAATAAGTAATAATATATATTAATTTTTTATTATAATTATATTTAGCTATCTATAATCTATATATAATCTTAACTTTCTGTTAGGTTTTAGTATAAACAGTATTAGATAACTAGCTAGAGATGTCAAAGGTCTTATAAATCCTTTCTTTAGGTTTTTATCTAGGTATTCCTTTGTTTCCTTTAATTGTCTTTCTGAAAGTCGGTATATTAGTTTAAATACTAGTTTAGTTCTAAATTCTAAAGATATCTTATAGTCTTAAGATTAATATTTAGGCAAGGCTATATTTTCCTTATCTTCCTTAAATAACTCTTTGAATTCCTTATATTCTGATGAGTAGTTATTAAGACTATCTAAAGCTTCTAAGGTCATAAGTTATATCTATATAGCCTTAGTAAAATATGCTTATATATTAGATATTCTATACTTATAATTATGAAACGTTAATATATATAACTTTTAATTAATTACTAGGTTATAATATATTAACTAAGGTGGGCAGTTATCGAGACTGTCCAAAGCTTCTGAGGTCATAGGTCGTATCTATACAGCCTTGGTGAAGTGTGCCTGTGTGTTAGGTATCCCACACTCACAATCGTGGAACGTCTCAGCGTATATAACTTCCAATTGATCACTAGGTTGTGATATGTCAACCAGGGTTTCCCTAGTATGACGTCGTGTTTGATCTGAGTAACATCCATCACTATTTCTTCGTAATGATCCTCAATCTGCAATCTTAATAGTTGCGTTTTTGTAGTAATCTAACCTTATCCTTCTTTAACAAGTAATTTGTTAGCTAGCCTTAGTTAGTAAAGGTTCTCTTTATCCTTAATAGGAGTTTAATTTCAAAGTATATATTCTTATAAGATATAGTTCCTTATAGCTCCTAAATCTATTATAATCTTTGCCTTTTTATTATTTAGAAGTATATATAATATTATATATTATAAGTAATATAC